GGGAGGGGAGGGGCTGGGGGCCTTTTCCTGGGCGTGGGCACAGGCTGCCTGGCTGGTATTAGCTGCTCCTGGGCAGGGCCGAGGAACCCTCCTGCCACACTTTGTGTCTGTGCGGTGGGACTCTTTGCCAGCGCATTGGGGTGCTCCTGGCCCTGGGCCCCCGTGTCCCCTGAATAGGCCCTGCTTGGGGCTGGAGAAGACTTGCTTGCACAGTCAACCGGGTTCGAACCCTGGCACCACATATGGGCTCCTGAACCCACCAGGAATGATCCCTGAGCACGGGGCCAGAAGTCAGCCCTGAACTCTGCTGGTGTGGCCCCCGAACAAAACGAGAGTGTGCTGTCCCAGTTCTCAGCTCATAGGCCCAAGTCTGAATCTGAGACCCGAGTTCAGAAACAGCTGTGGGTCCAGGTCCTGTGTGCCCCCAGGCAGGCAGGGAGGCAGGGCCTGCTGTGACCAGCCCCCTACTTTGGTGGCCTGTCTGCTCACTGTGGTCAGAGACACATCTGCAGGCTGAAATGTGGAGACAATGAGAGAATCTGGGTTTTCTCCTGTGGCCGTGAGGCCTGATGGCCGGGCGCCGAGCTGCCGCACCCCCTTCTACGAAGCTCCAGGTTGTGGACCGATGGAATTGTCAGTCAGGGCCCGACTGGGTCACTCCGTGGTGCTGGCCCTGGGCACTTCCCTGTGGCCCCACTTGGCCACGTGAATGGCCAGGACCTGTGTGGGCCAGGCACACAGGGGGCAGGGTGGGGCGAGTGGACCCTCAGCCATAGGAACTGACTGGCCTTAGCCAAACACCAGCGTCCACCGGTGACCTGAGGAAGTTCCAGCTTGCCATTCTCCCCGGGCCCGTTGGCTGCCTCTGGACAAGGCCTGGCCACAGGGCTTCAGATTCTGTCCTGAAAAGGGGCGCGGGCGGTGAGGTGGATGTCAGCCCTGTCAAGATTCCAGGATAGGCTGGAGAAAGCAGCGGGCAGGGCACCCACCACCCACTCAGTCAACCCAGCTCCATCCCTGGCATCCCAAACAGGAGACCAACATTTCGAAGATATTTGAATATTGGGTTATCACCTATAGCACTGTCGCACTGTCCTCCCGTTCATCGATTTGCTCGAGCGGGCACCAGTAACATCTCCATTGTGAGACTTGTTGCTACTGTTTTTGGCATATGGAATACACCACGGGGAGCTTGCCAGGCTCTCAGAGAGGGATGGAGGAATCAAACCCGGGTTGGCTGCATGCAAGGCAAAAAGCCATACCCGCTGTGCTATCGCTCCAGCCCTTACCAACTACATGACATTTTATTTTGGTTTTGGGGCCATACCCAGTGATGCTCAGGGGTCACTCTTGGTGGTGCTGGAGGACCCTGGGGGATGCCCGGGGCCCTGGGGGCATCCCATCGCCCCTGAACAGGTCTGCACAGGCACAGAGATTGGAGTGTCTGGAGCCTTGACAGAGTGGGGCTGGGAGGTTTCCGGCGTCCCTGAGTGTCCACTTCCAGCACGGACAGTTCCCCGTGCCCTCCCAGAAGCCGCCCACCCCAAAGTGACCCCAGCTTCATTTCTGCTGCCCGGTTCTGTACAGCGCTTTTGCCCCTGGGGAGCAGGGGAGAGGCGGGGCGCAGGGAAGGAGTTCGCAAGAGCCCCCCTGCCAGGGGCCGGATACTGTCCGATACTGTCCGGTGTGCCCCATCAAGCTCGACCTAGGGGCTGCGCAGCTGTGGCGGCCCAGCGCGCCCCCTTCTCCTCCCCGCGCCCCTCGGTCCGAGACCCCCGCCCCGCCCCGCCCCGCCCTGCGGAGCCGCAGCCCCGCCCGCCAGTCCCCAAGCTGCGGGCCCCGCCGAGACCCGAGCCCGCGGAGCCGGTCCCCTCCGGGCCCCCGCAGCGCCGGCCCCGCCCGCCCGCCCCCAGCCCGGCGCGCAGGTGCGCGGCTCGCGCGGCTCGGCCTGCGACTGAGCGTCCTGCCACCCCGGCGCGGGCGGGACCCCGCCGGGGATGGAGCCGCGGGCCGCGCGCCGCACCCCGCGCGTTCATGGTGAGTGGGCCTGCGGCCGCGTGGGGGTCCAGCCCAGGCCGCCCCGGGACCCCTCCGCCGTCCCACCCACCCCGCCGCCGGTGCCGCGGGCCCGGCCGGGCTGTGCGCAGGGTCTCCCGGGGAGCCGGGGACCCCCTGCCCGGCGGCGTGGCCGCCACAGCCGCCCGGTGGCCTTGCCCTCCGGCCGGGGTGGGGGTGGGGCCGGCCCGGGAGCCCCCACCCCTGGCCGGGCAGCAGAGGCGCCTTGGCGGCCCCTCCCCGGCGCGGAACTCGCCTTGCGCCCGGCCGGCACGAAATGGGCCCCGTCCGGGGGTGGGGGTGGGAGGTCGGCGCCGGCTGCATCCCGCCCCCGCCCCCGCCCGGCCCCGGCCGCCCGGGCTCCCGGGAGCTCGTTAGCGAGACGCCAGTGCCCAGAGTAGGGCAGCCGTGACGCAGCGGCCCTCCCGGAGGGACGGGCAGCGCCCACCCTGCCGATGCTGCCTGCGCCAGCGGCCTTTCGCACTTGGGGGCCTCCCCCGCCAGCCCCCTGCTCGGCCGCCCCCTCTCCGCCCGCCTGCTCCTGCGGCCTTTCCCAACCGCAGTTGCTGTGCCGAGGACGGCGCCCGTCCTGGGAGGGGACCCGCACCCAGCGCCCGATGGATTCGGTGGGACCACCAGGTGGAACCAGGCGCAGGGCGCGCTGGCTGTGTGCGGGTGGCCAGTACTCACAGCTGCAGAGCCTCCTCTGGCCAGTCCGGCGACCCGCTCAGCCTTGGCCTTTGGTCCAGAGATTTCCGAATTTGATCCCAGGCCCCAGGGAAAGCTGCGCTGAACCCGGGCTGGGCTGGGTTCGGGCTGGGTCTGGTAAGGGCTGGGTCAGGTCCAGTAGAGCTGGGTCAGGGCTGGGCTGGGTCAGGTTAGGTTTGAGCTGGGTCAGGGCTGGGTTAGGGCTGGGTCAGGCCAGGGCTGGACTGGGTGGCACCAACATGCACCCAGGATGTGTTCCTTCGCCTTACAAAGCCTCCTCTACCCCCTGTGCTCCCTGCACCCCACAGTGCTCACTCTGGAGAGGGGCCATGAGGCTGAGAGCCAGGTGGCCTGGAGGGATCAGAGCCAGTCCCACACCCCTGCAAGGGGGCATCTCCTCGCCAAGGGCTGTCTGTCTGGGCCCGGCCTGGCGCGCTGGGTGTGTGCCGGGTCCCCTGCCAGACCTGCAGCTGCTCAGGGCCTTTGCCCGTGGCCAGGTCGTGCCCAGCCAACCCCCGAATTAATTCTTTTTTGTAGTTTTGTTGTGAGGTTCTAGCCAGTGGTGTTGGAGTCAGGCTCTGTGCCTCACACGAGCGAGTCTCGGGTCTGTATGGTACGCGCATGTGTGTGTGTGTGTGTATATGTGTGCGTGTACATGTGTATGTATTTGTATGATTGTGGATGTGCGCATCTATGCCCTGTTCTAGCCATGCCCTCTTCTGTTATTGACATCAAGTGTGTCAGGCCTCAGCGCCGCCTCCCAGTCATCTGTCATGGTTGGAAGCTTTCTCCGGACAGGCTGCAAGGTGCCCAGGTGCCCTCGGAGGCATGGCCTAGGTGACCGGGTGTCCTCTGAGGCGTGACCTAGGTGCCTGGGTGCTCTCTGAGGCGTGGCCGCAGATGACTGAGTGCTCTCTGAGGCATGACTATAGGTGCCTGAGTGCTGTCTGACACATATCCCAGGTTACTTGGTGTCCACTGAGGCGTGGCCTAGGTGATTGGGTGCCCTCTGAGGTATAGCTGCAGGTGACCGGGTACCCTCTGAGGAGTGGCCTAGATGCCTGGGTGCTCTCTGTGGGGTGGCCGCAGCCCCAGAATGCAGGCTTCTGTCCCCAGCGCCACAGTGCCCCAGGGGTCCCAGGGCAAGTATCCAGTCCAAGTGTCCCCACAGGGGTACTTGGAGTCTCAGGGCACAGAGAAGTCCAGCCTGGTACCCTCCTGCGGTCACCTGACTGGTCTGGCCCCCTGCGCCCTTGGCGGCTCTGCCTCTCTCTAGTCCCCCCTTCTGCCTGATGCCCTCGCGCTGGGTCTGAGAAAGGGGGAGCCCCAAGCTGGCACCGCCCTGCTGGAGGGCCTTCACCAGAGATCCTCCCGGGCTTGGCGGCATCTCCTGACCAGGGCCCCTCAGCTGCCCGCCTTGAAGCTGCACAAATGCCGGACTCTGAGAGACGTCGGTGGGTCAGTGTGGGTGTGTTCCGTGAGGCCCTGCCTCCTGGCCGCTCTGGAAGCCTCTCCAGGCCCCGTGTGCTGCACAGGCTATTCTGAGAGCTCGTTGCTCCCAGGCGGTTTCCCAGGCACCTTTTTGGCGGCTCAGGTGACTCTTTTTGGTGACTCTTTGAGAGTCAGGTGGCGATTAGTCACCTTCAGTGACTGTTGCTCCCGTAGCCATCTGGTGGGCTTTTAAGTCGAAGGTTGACGCTTGTTGGCCTCACTTCTAGTTAGATTATCGCCTTGAAGGGACTCCCGGGGTCTGTGTGGAGATGTGGCAAGCAGGTCCCTTCGAGAGCGCCACACAGGCTGCACACGTGTGTGCCACATTCCTATGTTCTTGCCCGTGTGTACACACATGTTAAATGCTCCCATGCTTACACACATGTCCATGTGTCACGCTTCTCTGCTCTCACGCACACACAGACGCCACACCCCCATCCTGTTCCACACCCACCCACGTGTGTGCGCACACGTACTCTCCAGAGCAAGGTCCAGGCTGGCAGCAGGTGTGTGAGCATGTGGTGGAGGAGTGAATGTCCATTTCGTGTCTGAGTTTCCCAGCAGCCCTTGTGACCGTCGGCTGGAAGGAGCCTTTTCTGCATGGCAGCGGACAAGGGCCGGGTGTCTGGCCACAGCGTGCAGCCCCTGTGCATTGGCCGTGTCCACTCCTGCACACGGACTCGTGCCTCCTTCCTGAGGGTGGGGGCAGGGCTGGCGGGATGCCCTGATGCCACTGTCCGCCCTAGGAATGTGAAGACAAGGCTGGCCACCGCAGCAGGCCCCCGTCCCCCCGGCAGAGCGTGCGCAGGACCCTGGACTTGGAGCCGCTGTCCACCACAGCGCTCATCCTAGAGCACAGGCCAGCGTGAGTGGGGGCTCCCTCCCTGGCAGCAGGCGGCCCACAGTGTCTGCTGGCCCGTGGTGGGGGAGGGGGGCTGGCTGGTCCCCTCCTGCGTGCCGAGAGCAGGACTGTGGGCGTGGGGTGGCGGGGACCCCCGCTGCAGGCAGTGTCCTGGGCCGGGGAAGCCGTGGGGATGGCGGAGCGCCTGCCGGCATTCCCCGCCCTCCTGTCCCTGCTGGGCCCGCGGCCACAGCTCTGCCCTGTGAGCTGAGCTTTCTGCTGGACGATGCCCAGGGCCTGTGAGTCGGAGACTTCCCTGGATGCTGCGTGCACGGGCGGGGAAAAGACAGATGTTTGTTTTCTCTCAAGAAACCTACCGGCAAAGCCTGCAGAGGAGGCGGAGAAGCACCAGCAGCAGTATGAGGAGATGGTGGTCCAGGCCAAGAAGCGAGGTAGGGGTGGTGGGCTGCTTCGTGTTTGGGCGTCTCCTTGTCCCCTTGCGAACTGGAGCCAGACCTCCCATGATGCCGTTAGTGTTTTAAAATCGATAACTTTCCATCCTGAGCGTGTTCGGCCTCTCTGACCTGTCAGTTCGTGGCAGGGTTGGCCATGTGCCGTGGCTGGCGGCTGCCCCGAGGGACGAGGCAGGGAGGCCATCGGCCTCTTAGGAGGGGGTAGCTCTTGCCACCTGGTCACGCAGTGCCCGAGTCTCAGGTGTTGAGAAGCCTCGTGTGATTGTGAGGCGGAGGCTGTCCGTCTGTGCGTGCTTGCATCCTGTGTGGATCCTCCTGGAGGGCAGGTCTGTCCTGACTGCAGCACAGACGACAAGGAGCTGCCTCCGGGGCCATCTGCTCCGAGCTCCAGACACAGTGCTCAGGGACATGGGGGGGTGGGGGAGGAGGGCACCTTAGTGTGGGAAGACGGAACAATTTGGAGGGGGTGGCGGCCCCAAGCACGTGCCCTGAGCCAGTGCCTCCCAAAGTGTGTGAAGGGTCTGGCTGCAGTCCCTGCGGCTGCCTGCCGAGTGGGGGGAGGGAGGGGCATCACTGCAGGGTGGGCGAGCACCATGTGTTGCTTCCCAGAGCTGCGCGAGGCCCAGCGGCGGCGGAAGCAGCTGGAGGAGCGGTGCCGGCTGGAGGAGAACATCGGCAACGCCGTGCTCACGTGGAACAATGAGATCCTGCCTCACTGGGAGACCATGTGAGTGCTCTCTGCACGCGCATCCCTTTCTTTTAGAACCTTCTGGAAGTCCTGGCCACCTTCTTGCTGTCCCAGTGGCTTGGCTGTGATTGGGCCATGCTGCAGGGGCACAGAACCCTCCTCTGCCATTGGGGTTTGCAGGGGTCACTAGCCAGCAGCAGCTCCCCTGGACCTGCTCCCCATACGGGCAGCTCCAGCTGTGCCGCTGGGCTGCCCGAGCCCCCTTGTCGCTCTGCTTTCTGCGCACATGGCCTGGCCAGCACGAAATCTGGGCCACAGAGCAGTTACGGTCACTGCGCATGGGCACCGTCCCTGTCGTGGCCGGTCACGGAGTCGGCCACTAAAGGCTGTCATGGGTGTCCTGACCGCAGCGTCCAGTGAGTTCCTGCTTCCTGTCCAGGTGGTGCTCTCGGAAAGTGCGAGACCTCTGGTGGCAGGGCATCCCTCCCAGCGTGCGGGGCCGGGTCTGGCGCCTGGCCATCGGCAACGAGCTGAACATCACCCACGGTGAGCAGTTCCTGCATGGCCTCAGGCCAGCCGCGGCCAGATCCAGTGTCCAGACCTCCCTGTTCGTCCTTAGGGGCAGCAGGGCGGGTCCAGACCTCACTGTCCAGCCCTAGGGGCAGCAGGGTGGTCCAGACCTCACTGTCCAGCCCTCGGGGCAGCTGGCACTGGTCCTTTCTGCGAGACTCATGCTGGGGCATATGGTCTGTGGGCGCTTCCCCCATAATGTGTGTGAAGCTTTAATCCATACTGTGTGGGCCCATGGGAGCCCGTGTCCATCTCTCAGCTGTCTCCCTGGGAGAGGGTGGGCATGTCATTGTGTGTGAGCATGTGTGCTTGGATGTGCACCGGGCATGTGTGACTGACACCTGCGTGATTATGTGTATTGGTCATGTGTGTATGATTGTGTGATTCTACACATGCTGTGTGCGTGTGGACTGCATGTACACACGAGCACGATTGTGCCCACAAGTGTGCATGCAGGATTGTGAGATGGCATGCACATGGGGTCCCATGTGTAGGCTACTGCATGCATGCATGGGTGTGTGGGGTGTGTGTGCATACATGATCATGTGTGTTTACACATTGTGCTGTGTGGTTGCACGTATGTGGCTGTGTGTAATTGTTTGCACATGGGTTATGTGTGTGCATGTGGCTGTGTGATTGTGTTTGTGCGTGCATGAGTGTTCATGTGTGACTGCATGTGTTGGGTGCAGTTTATGCCATGCCCAGAGTGCTGGGCCCTGTGCTGGGAGCTGGACTGTCCCTGAGTGCTGGGCGCTGGGCATGACCGGGGCTGCAGAATGCCCGGTTGTGCCCTGTGCAGGCAGCTGCCCAGCCTGAGGCCTTGGTGTGGCTGGGCTCCCCTCCCGCCCCATGCGAAACTGGGCCAGACTTGGAGCACTGCCCCATCCATGCTGGGCCTCACACGGGTCCATCTGTGCTGCCTGAACCCCGAGCTGACCTGGACAGGGTGGCATCGCAGAAGCCTCCGGTGCTGGTTTGCAGGGCCCCTGAGTGTCCCTCTCAGCCCGTGCGTGGACCCAAGGGCTGCAGCTCTCTCTCGTGGGTGCTGGCCGAGCGGGTGTTTCCTCCAGTTCTCACCGAGGCCTGGGTTGGTCTGTGTGTAGTCTGGGGGGCGGGTTGTTCCTTGTCTCAGTGCCACCCCCAGTAGTGTTCACTTCTGGGTCTGCACCCGGATTCTTCCTTGGCGGTGCTCAGTGGACCAGGGATTGGGTCTTGTGCCAGGGAAAAGCCTGCACCCCGTTGCTGCTTCTCTGGGACCTTGTTTTTTCAGTTTCGCTTCTTTGTTTTGCGGCCACACCCAGCAGTGCTCAGGGAACCAGGCAGAGCCCTCCTGCCTCGAACGGGCCATCTGGTGTGTGGCCACTTTCGAGGCCCCTGAAGCCGGTGCCACTTAAAATCCACTTGGAGCGCATTTGGGGATCATGGGAATTTGGGCCAGGTGGGGACTGCTCAGTCCCTCGTCTGCAGGCTTGTCTGACTCTTTCTCTGAGCTTGGTGACCACCCACCAGCGCTCTGTCCACCTGCCGCTGTGCCCAGTCCTGCTCACAGCACTCAGCTGGCCTGGAGTCCCGGCTGGATGAGTGCATAAATGGATGCCAGCTGGGGGAAGAATGGATGAGTGGTGAATGAAGGAGGAGTAAGTGGATGAACGAGTGAGGGGCAAGCACGCGTACTGGCCCTCGTGCCAGTGTCCACTCACAGTCCAGTCAGGACCTCCTTCCTGAGTAGAGGGCTCGCCGGGTCCGGGAAACTGCAGCCTGACAGAGGGCGGGAGCTGGGACCAGGGTCGCTCCGGTCCTGCGGCCTCTGACCCCCGAGGCCAGACCTCTGGCCTGAGCTGGGCTTTGGAGTGTGGTGGCGCTGGGTGTGTCCTGTCACCTCCCCAGGAGCCAACCCCAGGGGTGTGACTCTGGGCACTGGGCACAGCGGCAGGCTGGGGGGAAGGGCCAAGAGCCCGGCTGGGGGGAGGAGGGGCCCGAGTCAGGCCCGCCTGGGTCTCCCACCCCAGGTTAGGAGGTGGGGTGGGGCGGGGTGCCGTAGCAGGGGCATGCGGCCTGTGCTCACAGCCTGTGCTCCCCGCTCCCCCAGAGCTCTTCAACATCTGCCTGGCCCGAGCCAAGGAGAGGTGGCGGTCCTTCAGCGCGGGCGGCTCTGAGGCGGAAAGCGAAGGTAAGGGCCTGGGGGCTCAAGCGGGGAGCAGGGCGGGACAGGGTGCTTCTGGAGCCCACGCTGGCCCCTCAGCAGGGTCTGTCACTGGCCAGCACTGGGCCAGGCCCACCTGCCCCGAGACCTTTGCTGCTCCTGGAGGCAGGACTCAGTGCTCGTCCAGCGGGGGCGCGTTGGGGGTGGCTGTTTCCACTCGGGGTTCTGCCAGCCCGGCTTCTCGCTCCTCTGGCCGCTGTGGCGCCTGCCGGGGTAATTAGGCCGATGTCCTTTCTCGAGCCTCATCGCCTCGTTTCATTCTTATAAAACTTCAAAGGCTAGTGATGATCCCACACGCTCTGGGTCTGTTGACAGATGCCGGGTTTTCAGCCGCAGACAGAGAGGCCAGTCTCGAGCTCATTAAACTGGACATTTCCAGAACATTCCCTAGTCTCTGCATTTTCCAGCAAGTAGGTGATTGTGGCTTTCATGTTTTACCTAAATTTCATAGATGTCCAACGGGTCAGTGGGGGGTGGCCGCGGGTTGGTCGGGGCCCTTTTTTGTCGATTGATCGCCACAAACAGTCGGTCGCTGTGGCAGCCTGGGCTGCTTCAAGACGTGGCTCAGAACCTGTGGGGTGGGCGTGCAGGGGCAGGGGCCCCCTCTCCCGAAGCGTTCTAGGTGCTGTTTCGTGCACGAGAGTATGTGGAAGGGGCCCCAGGGCGGCCTTTGGGGAAAGGGGTCCCCCCCGCACAAGCTGGGAAACGGGAGGGCGGGGAGAGGCATTTCCTGCACGTGACCCATCCACAGGCAGCAGTGGGTCTCCATAGAGTGGGCAGAGCCCCTGTGGGTGGGCCCAGCTGTGTCAGAGCCCCAGGGAGGGCCCCAGTGCGCTGGGGCTGGGCTCAGCCCTACAGTCTGGGTCCTGGCGTCTGCCAGCCTTCCCTGGGTCGAGTGTTTCCTTCTCGGGTGGGTAACACAGACCCCGCCCTGCCCTGTGCCCGCCTCCTGCAGAGAAGCCCAGGCTCTTCTCCTGCTCTGTGGGGCTGGGGCAGGGGCAAGGTTAAGGGTCGGGACTCCCTGCTGGCTGAACAGGAGATGCCATGAGCACCCCTGGCTTGTGGATGCTGAGGACTGGACTGTCCCTTGTCCAGCACCCGGGCAGTGGGTCTCACCCCCGTGTCGGCTCTTGCAGGGCGGCCCCTACCACGACCCCCTGCACAGCGTCCTGGGTGCCTACACCTGCTACCGGCCCGATGTTGGTTACGTGAGTGAGCGTCTCCCTCAGCCAGGATGCTGTGGTAGGGCGGGTGCAGAAATGGGACCCCTGAGGAGGAGCCGCAGGCCTGGGTGCACCACGAGGCCCCGGCCAGGGGTGGGGGCACTGACTGTGAGTGGATGGGCTTTATTTTTCCCGAGTCTTGCTGGTATCAGGGCTGTTGGTATTCCGCTGCCATCCACTGCAAGTATTCGGACCCACGCCCCACCAGCCCCCACCACACGTACACAGCAGATGCAGGGCATGACCGGCCCTTACCTATACCTCCCAACACAAAGGAGCAGGGCATTACCTGCTCTGTGCTCTCACACACACACCACGTGATGCCCTGTGCTCTCACACAGGTGCAGGGCATGTCCCATTCTGTTCTCCCATACAACATACCCCTGATGCCCTGTGCTCACACACACACACACACACACACACACACACACACTCTCACACTGCCTGTGCTCACACACACACATACACACGATGCCCTGTGCTCTCACACACACTCACCCTTGACGTCCTGTGCTCACATACACACACATGATGCCCCTGCTCTCATACACGGGTGCAGGCCATGTCCTGCCCTCACCAGTGCTCACACACGTGACGCCTCATGCTCCCATACAGGTGCAGGGCATGTCCTTCATCGCAGCCGTGCTGATCCTCAACCTGGACACTGCAGACGCTTTCGTCGCCTTCTCAAACCTCCTCAACAAGCCCTGCCAGATGGCCTTCTTCCGAGTGGACCACAGCCTGGTGAGTGGCTGCTGCCGCTTGCTGCCCACTTAGTGCCCGCCGCGGCTCTGGCTACATCCCCAGGCGCTGTCGGAGCCACGTGGGGGTTTCCTCATGCGTCTTCTCAGAAGGTTCTAGGGCCCTGGCTATCAGTCTTGCACAGGGGATCCCACACAGTGCAGTGTCCACTCTGGGTCCACTCAGCAGGACTCCTTCCTGACTGTGCTCTGCTGCTGGGTGCCAGTGGAGAGGGTCCTGCTTCTTGCGTCTGCCCAGAGTGAGCATCCCTTAGAACCGGACAGTGAGGAAGTGTGCGCCCTCTGGGCTCAACGTGCCCTTCCCCCACAGCCCCGTAGAAAGGGAGCTTTAGTTTCTCTCTTTCGAGAAATGACGTGGTGGTTATGCTAGGGTCCACCCCTGCCCTGGCCCCTGGGGTACGGTGACTGTGGCATGGCTGTCACTCGGTGTGGCCATGTGGGCAGGTTGTCCAGAGGGCACGTCCCAGCTCCGCGGTGGTCTGCGCTCCCACCCTGCAACCCCGACACTCGGAACCCGGCCAGGATTCACGTGGGGCCGTGGTCCTCCCGCCTGGGCTGTCAGCGCCGTGCTGGGCAAGAGGCCGCTTCGGAAGGGCAGCCCCTCAGACAGGCCGGGGCATGTACGCAAGGCCACGAAGCGGCCCCAGGAAATCTCTGGCCTGGCCGCCGCTCTGCCCGACTGGCGTGAGCCCTGGAGCCCCTGCGGCTGCCTCACGCCTCCCTCCGTCTCCCTAGATGCTGACTTACTTTGCTGCTTTTGAGATATTCTTTGAAGAGAATTTGCCGAAGCTGTTTGCTCACTTCAAGAAAAACAACCTAACTCCAGACATCTACCTGATCGACTGGTAAGTCGCTTTCCCGGGACTCTTCCTGCCCGTACCCTGTGCCCACTACCTGCCACCCGCATGCTGGTGCTGCTCTGCCAGTCTGCGCTCACCTGCCCGGACTCCAGATGATGGGACCGAACCCGGGGAGACTGCCAGGCAGGCGAGTGGCGGGGATGAGACAGCCTCAGGATGGACAGACGGACAACGACAGCTCCACACAGCAGAGGGCAGCAGACCTGAGCTGACCGGCCTGGAGGGACTGAAGGGGGGGAACCGGGAGGCAGGGCCCTGGGCCGGCAGGAGGGGACAGGGGTCCCGGGCCAGCCGGGAGGGGTCAGGAGTCCCGGGCCAGACAGGGGAGGACCGGCGCATTTCCCAGGCTGGCTCAGGCCCAGGAGGCGGGAAGGCCGGGGACAGCCAGACTTGGGCTGGGTGCAGAGTGGTGGAATGACGGGGCAGGGGCGAGGTGGGTCCCCGGAAGCTTCTGTGGGCATCCCAGTGACGTGCAGACAGCCAAGCCGCTGCCTGCACCGCTGGTTTCATCTCAGTGGACAGGCCAGTTCTGGAGACTGCCAGGCTGGAGCAGATAGGCGAGGAGCCTCGGGGCGAGGGGGGGGGGCAAGTGGCCCCGCACTTCTCACCTTTCGGCAGGTGCCTGGGCCATGCCGGCGCCAGAGGGGCTCCACGAAGGGCACTGGCTGCTCTGGGCCTCCTGGGTTCAGCAGCACCTGGGCCACCGTCCACGCTCAGGCCGGCGTCTGTCCAGCCTGGGCCTCACCACGGGGTGAGGTGTCGGGGGTCTCGGTGGCTGTTTGATTCATTTGCATCAGGAGGCAAAAATTCCTCCTGGGGACAGAGAGAACAAGGGTTCGGCTCACGGCCCGGCCCGGCTCGGAGTGACCCCTAGCACAGAAACAGGAGTCAGCCTGAAGCAAGTGCTGGGTGGTGGGGCTTGCTTGGAGGAGGCGAGAAGGGAGCATTGCGGGCTGTGCTCACTCTCAGCACCTTGGGGCATGTCTGGGCCAGGCACTGCCCTGACTCGGGCTGTCCTGGGCGCTGGGGCTGCAGGACCCCTCCTTCAGGCCCCCCCACGGGGGTGGTGCTGTCTCTGCCAGGACCCCCGAGTGGTCATCTTCTGAGGCTCTGCATCCCAGGCACAGTCTGGGGTGCTTCTGGGTGGGGCCTCAATGGTTAAGGTGCATTCCTTGCCCCGCCCAAAAAAACAGCCCCCCAGAGCGATAGTCCAGCAGAGAGGGCTTTGGCCTGGCACACGGCTGATCCAGGTTCGATCCCTGACATCCCATATGGTCCCCCACTTCCTGCCCGGAACGACCCCTGAGCACTGCTGGGTGTGGTCCTTAAACAACAAGAGCCGCCCGAGCAGCTGTGGCTGCGTGGGGGGCCTGGGAGGCAGAGCTCCTGCGTGGTGTTAGGGCCTTGGGAGGGTCAGCTGTGCAGTGACCTTCACCTTTGCGCCGTGGCCATTCTGACCTGTGGTTTCCTGTGACTTGGAGTTGCTGGTGGCAGGAAGGGCTGGCTGGGCTGGGTGTTCCACCCCCACCAGTAGCCGCCCCCTTGCCCCCGGTCACCCCGAGCGTGCAGATAAGAGCACTGCTGAGTGCTGGGGGCGACCCGGCAGTGCGGCCGCCGAGACACTCAGTGAGGGGGGTCCACCTTCGACCGTTTCGGATCTCTGCCCTTGCAGTGCGTGTGCCAGGGTCCCCTGGCACAGTACTCTGACTCAGCGCCTTGACCTTTGTGCCCAAGGGGCTTTGCCTGTGTCCTGAGTGTGTGGGAGCTGCAGCCTGCGGCCACGGAGCTGGAGGTGGGGGTGGGGGTCCCCAGAAGGCCCGGGTGGGTGCGGGGCTGTGGGGGCCGTGACCCTGGTGCCGATGGCCCTGTGGTAGGTGAGGAGGCCACAGGACCAGGCCTGGTAGAGGGGGACAAAGGCGGGGGCGGGCAGGTCACCAGAGAGGGCGCCAGGTGGCATGTCCACATCCAGCGGGCCCCCCTCCTGCCCTCGTCCAGGGCCACGTTCTCCGGCTGCTGTCTCCCAGTTGTTCTTTATCTACGAGCACACGCTGTCTCCCTCTCTCCCTCTCCCCCCCCCGTGTCCCCCTCTTTCTCTTCCTCTTTCTCCCCCCTCCCTCTCTCTTCCCTCTCCCACTCCCGTGCTCACTCTTGACCCCAGGCTGCTGTACTGTCACTCTGGCCCCCTGTCTGTCTCTGTCTTTCTGCCCTCCCCCCCCAGCCCCCTGGGGAGGAAAGTGCTACGTGGGCATGTGCCCCGGTCATTGTCCTCGGGGCTGTGGGTTGGGGGTTGTCGCTGGTGCCCACCCCACATGCCTGCCCGTCCTCGCCTCCCCGCCCCACCAGGATCTTCACCCTGTACAGCAAGTCTCTGCCGCTGGACCTGGCCTGCCGCGTGTGGGACGTGTTCTGCCGCGACGGGGAGGAGTTCCTGTTCCGCACGGCGCTGGGCATCCTGCGGCTCTTTGAGGACATCCTGGCCAGCATGGACTTCATCCACATGGCGCAGTTCCTCACCCGGCTGCCCGACGACCTCCTGGCTGAGGAGGTCTTCGCGTCTATCGCCACCGTGCAGATGCAGAGTCGGAACAAAAAGTGGGCGCAGGTGAGTGGCACAGCTCCCGGGCAGGTGCCAGGCCGGGTGCCAGGCTTGATCTTTGTGGTCCCCGTGAGGTGGTGGGAGGCTGTACCCTCCCCGTCCCCAGCAGCGCGCATCTTGCAAGCCCAGTGCTGCCGCTGGTGACCTGGAGCCGGGGACTCACTCATGGTGCTCTGCCCACGGCCACCGCAGTGGTCATCACTTGTCCGGTGCCCCAGCCCCAGAGGACTGACCCCCCCCCCCCCAACCAAACCAGCCAGAATCCAAGTCCCTCGCCGATGACAGGTACTTGTCATTAGGTTTTCTGGGTTTGATTTTGTTTGTTCTTTGGGCCACGCCCAGCGTTGCTTGGACTTCTTGGCGCTGTGCCGCGGTGGACTCGGGACCGTGTGGGATGCCAGGAACTGAACCTGGGTTGGCCGCGTGCAAGGCAAATGCTTTACCTGCTATTCTATCACTCCGATCCTCCTGGTCATTAGATTTCACTCATCTGCATCTTGTGATTAGCTAAAGATGCTTGTTTATGTGTGTTGGGGTCACATCTAGCAGTGCTCTGGGGACCATATGGGATGCCAGGGATTGAACCCAGGTTGGCTGCATGCAGGGCAAGCGCCTCACTTGCTGTTGCCCCAGCCCGGAAAGGTCTTTTGCTTGATTTTCCCTCCACTTACCTACCCTCCTTTCCTTTCCGTGTGTGTGTGTGTGTGTGTGTGTGTGTGTGTGTGTGTGTACTGAGATCATTTGCCAGTGTGCAACCTTTGAACTATCTCCGCTTGGTTGCCCAGGCCCCCCTGTCTGCTCCGCTACCCAGGCCCCTCTGTCCACTCCATGGCTCGAGGTGTGCTGTTTCGTCGTCACCTTTAGCCCGATTCCTCTCCGGACTTTGCTCCCGCACACTGCGCCCTTGCGGGGTCTCCCGGGTACCTCCTGCCTGCTGGCCCTGGACACTGGCCAAGACCTTGCTGGCTGTCGCTCTTTCCTGCTCTGCCCAGCATGTGTGGGGGAGCCTGGGGAAGCCTGCCCCGGCCATCGTGGCCATCTCGACCTGGCCCGAGCAGTGGCCTGAAGTCTGTGGCCACATAATGCTGCTTCTGGGCAGCTCCCGGGCTCGGTCTTGAGTGTGGCCCCAAGCCCCACACCCTTCGGACCCCTGGGAGTGCGGTAAGGCTGGCAGCGGCCAGGGCACGAGCTGGGACTCTAGGTGCCCGACTGCGCAGCTGGGGCTGGGTGGGTGGCAGCAGGCCCAGCTGATGGCAGACACTGCTCCCGTGCGCCATCTCTCGGCCCCTGGCCAGCTCTGCTCTCTGGGGCAGGCGGGTCCCCGGACTGAGGCCCCAAGGGGGACAGTAGCCAGGTCACTAAAGTGTCCCCAGACCTAGTCGCTCCCTCTCCACACGGCTGTTCTTGCCCTCACTGCAGGTCTCAGGCTGACCTGGGTCCTGATGCAGGTTTGCTGTGACTCGGGAGGGCTGATCAGAGATGCCCCCTCTCCGCCCCCCTAGGTGTCCAGCAGGGCCGGGTCAGTGCCTCTGCCCCTCTGTATGCAGTTGGCTGCCTGGGTCCCCTTCCTGTCGGGGTCTGCCGGGAGGAAACCGTCTGCATTGCGGCCCTTGCTTTGGGGGCTCTGCTCAGTGCTGAGGAAGCAGGATGGGGGCACCTCTTGTTCCTGTTTGGCTCTTAGCCCCCTCCTCCCCCCTCCACCCGCTGTGCTGGGGCATCACTCCTGCGGGGCTTGGGGAACTATGGGGTGCAGGCACGGAGGTGACCTGCCCGCTGCACCGTCTCTCTGGCCCTCACCGCACGTTGGGCTTGCCGGCCAAGGGGGCTGTATGGGGCCCAGGGCAGCGGCTCCCCTCACTGGGCCCCGGTGCCCTGCAGTTGGCTCTGTGATGGCTGTGCCCGGTGGCCTGTGCGCATGTATGTCCGTGAGGTGCGGGGCCAGCTGAGCAGGCCTGAGAGCTGGGCCTTTCTCCGGCCTCAGTGGGGGCCAGCAGCTGTGGGGGTGTGGGGCCGGGCCCTTGCTCCAAAGGCTGGAGGTCCACGCTGACCACAGAGCGGGAGGCCCAGTGCCAGTGGAGCTGTCCTGGCCCTCAGGGACCTCCCTCTGCCTGACTGGAGGTGGATGGCTCCCCAGGGTGCAGGCCTGTGTGTCCAGGTGTATGCGCACCCACGTGTGTGCTTGTCCAAGTATGTGTGCGCCCAGGTGTGTGCCTGTCCGGCTGTGTATCCCCCAGGTGCGTGCATTCCCAGGTTGTGCCCACTTGGTCCAGGAAGCTTGTATCAACCTGCCCCACATACAGACACATGCACACACTTAGACCCACCCCATACACACATCACACGTGTGTGCCCTTGGCCCTCGGGCCCTGAGAGGAGGGCACGTCCCGTGGGTGGGAGCATGTCCTAGGCAGTGGGGTTTGAGCATGGCCTGCGGTGTCTGGCGAGCTTGTGGCAATTCGGGTGCCAGCACGGGCACAGAGGCCAGTGTTGTCTCTGGAAAGGCCACTCGCTGGCAGCGCCTGCCCCCAGATCCAGGGAGCTGTGGCAGAGAATGTAGATGGGGCACGGGGAGCCTGGCACCCGGCACCCTGGGCGTCAGAGGCGGGAGCGGAGGGAGGATTCCATAGCCGTATTCCAAATTCCATGGCGTCGCTGTCATCTCTCCGCCCTTGTCCCCAGGTGCTGACTGCCCTGCAGAAGGACAGCCGGGAGCTGGAGCGGGGCAGCCCGTGTCTCCGGCACTGACCACCGGCGCCTTTGCCAGGCACCTCCTGGCCGCTCCCAGACACACACTGCCGCCAGCGCCCTCGCTCTGGGAACTCGGCACTTGGACGGGGAGGCGGGCAGCACTCAGCCGGAAGAGCAGCGCGGATCGACCCAGTGGCCCGAAGCCGGTGGCAGCCACCTTCTCCCCCCTCACAAGCAAAACCCATTAAATTGTGATGCTTTTATGGCAACGACCAGAGAGGACCGTCCCCTTTCTTGGCCGAGGTGCAGGAGGACGGTGGTTGGGAGAAGGCAGAGCCGGCAGCTGCACACTGTGGCCGCCACGTCCCGGCGCGGCCCGTTGATCCCGCCTCAGGAGAGGGGCTGGGCCGGGCCAGCAGCCCCCGGCTGCCACTGACTCTGTGGCCTTGAGACACCGAAGCCAGCCTACAGTCTACCTGCATGTGCGGCCATGGGGGACTGCTCCCAGGGGGACTTAGGGCCAGTCTCAGGCCACGGAGGGGCTCGGCCCTGCCCATGCCTGTCTGCCTGATCTCTTGAGCGCCAGGGTAACCCCTAAGTGCCGTGACCCCTTCTCAGGCATTCTCTGGCCAGGCCCACCTGGCACGGACCTGTTGACACCAGCAGCCCCCCACCCCCAGCATGGCTCCCCTCTCCGTGAAAGCGCGGCCATGGCCGACCACGCCATGGAGTGGGTGGGTGTAGGAAGTCTCCGAAGGTGCTGTGGCACTGAGTATGCACCCAGGAACCCGCCATATGGCCCCGGCATTCCTGTACCCCTCTGTCAGCCACTCTCACCACAGACTGGAGTGGCCTAGGGCACCCTCCCCTCAAGTGTCGTGGGCAGCTGGGAGTCAGATGGAGCCAGAGCCCTTGGTGGCACCGTCGAGGTTCTGCGCTCCAGCAGTGCATGGCCTCCCCTGGCTCCTGCCCCATAGCGCTGCCCTCCCGCTGGACGGGCTCCTCCGGGGCACAGCCTCCAGGGCCACCACACCTGCCTGGCATGCAGCCACAACCACCGCCGTCCCCTGGCACCTCGCTGTGTTTTCTGTCGGGAAACATGTCTCTGCGGCCCAGTGGGCACCCTTAAGTTTCCCAGCCTTCTACCCCCGCTGCACCCTGACCTGCCGCCTTCCCAAGAGGCCTTGCAGCTGCCCGGGGACCATGAGAGGGACCACATGGGTCTGGTGGACATTCCCCACCGGCGCGTGCAGCAGAGGCAGCCCTGCTCCTCGCCCACCCTGACCGCCCGCAGCTGACCACAGCCCCGCGGGCTCCTCGGACTTGCTCCTGTGAAAACTGGTGATACTCACTGCGTCTGTCCCTTGCTGACAGCTTGTACAATTGCCTTTTTATTCAGTAAAGTATCAAATGAAGACTTTTTTGAATTGTAAATTACAGTTTTATTAAAGAAGAATTATGTAAAATTTACCAGAGATCGCAGGTGTGACTGAAATGGATGATCCCATGGGAGATGGCAGGAGTGTGACCTTGAGGGGACGGCGCTCACCTGGGTTCAGTCCCCATCACTACATGTGGTATACTGAGCCCCGCCAGGAGAGAGCCCTGAGCGCAGAGGATGTGCCAATCCCCTTCTGCCCCCCAGTGAAACATTCATTCATCTTCGGCATTTAGGGTGTGGTCAGGCGGGTTCACTCCCCCTTCCTGCTGTTCCCCACCTCTGCCCCTCCCCTCCCATTTGTGACTAAGCCACAGAGGCCCGGCTCCTCCATGCGCCCCCCCAAGATAGTTGCTAGGGTCCTAGGAGGGCAGCCTGCTCGTGTCCCCAAGTACCCCCGCCAGTGAAGCCTTGGTGTCCTGTGCCCTAGTACCTGAGCAGACATTGCAGGCCACTTGCCACCTCTTTCCTGTCCTGAGGCGTGGGTTGGGGGCTCACAGGCCCCAGTGGGAAGAGCCCATTCCTCTCCCGCTGCTGTCTGACCTGCCCATGCTTTCTCAGCCCCTCGGCCACCAGAAGCCGCCCACCCACGCGGGGTCCCTTGTGCTGGTTCAGGTCTGGGTGAGGCCTGCTGAGGCAGGTGGGGACAGGGCCGCCCTCAGACCCTGAGGAAACACAGGTGTCCACAGGTTAGGGTCAGCGGCTTTGACTTTTTTTTTTTATGAATCACCGTGAGGTACGGTTAGACTTACAAACTTATGCTTATGTTTCAGTCCTACAATGATTGAATCCCCATCCCTCCACCAGTGCCCATTCTCCACCACCACTGTTCCCAGTACTCTCCACCCACTCCCCGCCTCTGTGGCAGGCATATTCCCTTTTACTCTCTCCTTTTGGGTGTTATGGTTTGCAATACAGGTACTAAGTGGCCATCATGTTCGGTCTATAGCCTACTTTCAGCATGCATCTCCCATCTTTTATTTATTTTTTTATTTTTTATTAGTGAAACACCATGAGGTACAGTTGTAGACTTACAAGTTGTTGTGCTTGTGTTTCAGTTATACAATGATCGCGTACCCACCACCAGTGCCCATTCTCCACCCCCACCAATCCCAGTATCCCTCCCACCCCTCCCATCCCCTATCCCACCCTGCCTCTGTGGCAGGGCACTCCCTTTTGTTCTATCTCTCCTTTTGGGTGCTGTGGTCTGCAGAAGAGACATTGGGTGGCAATCATGTTCTGTCTATAGACTACTTTCAGCATGCATCTCCCATTCTAGGCAGATCTTCCCAGCACCCTTTATTTGGTGCTCCCTTCTCTGTCTGAACTGCTTTTGCCCCTACAGTGTGCGGCTGGCTTCTAAGCCATGGGCATCTCCCATCTTGAGCGAGCCCTCCAAGCATCCTTTACTTGATGGTCCCTTCTCTATCTGAGTTGCCTTTTCCCCCAGCGTGTCTCGAGGCAGCCTTGACTTTTGTGAAAATCTTCTGTTGGGCAGCCCCACCATCATTGAGCCTGCCAGCCTCCATCCATTTGTCTGTCCTCCAGGATGGGTACTTCATGCAGGTACTGCTTATTTCAGACCCTAGTCACAGGCTCCAGATTTTAATGCACAGCTCCTGGCCCCCATCTTCATTTCTCCGGGGTAGAACTCCCTGGTCCCTGAGCCAAGGGCACGGGCAGAATGGTATCAGGGACATGTGCAGTGCCCGCGCCCAGGGGCCTGGCAGGGGCAGGGAGCCGTCCCATGAGCGCGCTCCTCTCGTCTCTTTCCAGAGAACCTCAGTCACGGGGCAGTGGATGAGGATTTTCTCCTGCTTGAAGCACTCCCTCAGTCCACCTCAAGCCGAATGCCAGGCCCGCTGGCTGGTCTCTGCCAAGGCTGCTGTCTGGTTGCGGGTGAAAGGGGAAGGGTCCGGGCCAGTGGCTCCAGGTCGGCTGAATAATGAGTTTGTTTTCCCTAGAGGTAAGCCAGGGGCCAAGGAGAGCACCGGAGAGCTGCCACCACCAAGGGCCTGGTGCCACCCACCTGCCTGGGGGCCTCCAGGACGCAGGAGGAGGGCGGGATGGGGGTGGCGCTACTTGTGATCCAAGGCAGAAAGAATACGATCTGCCAGTGGTTCATTTCTTCAGCCAGCCTTGAACAGTGGGAAGGGAGCATGAGGAGAGGGTGTGTGTGTGTGTGTGTGTGTGTGTGTGTGTGTGTGTGTGTGTGTGTGTGTACACGAATACATGCGCACGTGAGCATGTGCAGCTCGAGAAAACTAGACTCTTTTTAAGTCGTATTCAGGCCATGCAGGTTAGAATTTTAATCAACCTTTAGTGGCCTCTAAAGGAACATACTTTAGAAATAAAACTGCATCATCAAAATCAAGGAACCTTTCCCAACTGACGACCTGTAAGTGGATTCAGCCGAACTCCGCAGCTGGGAGAGGCCACTGTGCGCACCTGCCTGCCAGAGGCACAGGCAGGAATTTGAATGCAGGGAGGGAGGGTGAGCGTGCGTCTAACCCTGAGACACACCTTCATTCACCCTGTGATGTAAATGAATCCAAGGCCTCGGTTCCCAAAGCACCAAAGGAAAGTGAAGGTGTTCGTTATGGACTCTGGATAAAGGTGCTAGAATATCAGGCATTGTTCCGTGAACAGGAGGCGAAAGAGACAAGTGACTGTTGATTCCGAGTGAAATCCTGGGCTCACTCAAAGGTCATCAAGGCCTGGCATTCTCCTGGTGCACACAGGAGGGTCACTATGGGCTGAGTCCTCTGTTTGTTTAGTTCACACCTGGAAAAATACAGTCTGATCAGTGGGCCTTTACTGCATGCACAAGACCCTTTTATTAACGATATCGCAAATGACAGTGCCTGAAATTTTCATTTTCATTTCATCTTCCTGTTATTCGTCGAATGCCTCAAGCAGGCCCCAGTAACGTCTCTTTCATCCTAACCCTGAGATTATATTCAAGGCTCTTTAGGAGAATGAGACCCATCATTGTTACTGGTATTTGGCATATTTGGTACGCCACGGGGAGTTTGCCAGACTCTGCCCTGTGGGCAGGCTACATTCGATAGCCTGCAAGTTTGTCCAAAGTAGGAATGAGATGATAAGATGTCATAAAAGATGTCCTGATAAGATTAAATTAAAAAAACAAAAAGTACAATAAAATAAAATAAAAAATAAGCCAACTCTTGGACCAGAGCGACAGTACAGCAAGTAGCACTCATACCCTGCACGCAACCAAGCCAGATTCGAACCCTGGCACCACATATGATTCTCTGAACCCCTCCAGGAGTGACCCCGGAGCACAGAATCAGGAATAAGCCCTGAACACTGCCAGGTGTAACCTCCAAACAAAAAATTAAAAAAATACAGCTCTTGAAAAAAATCAGTGGGTCATCACAGGAAAACACTTTTATTTTGGTACAGATCAACGAATTTCTTTAGCATCTTAAGGAAAATACCACATCAACCAGGTATCATTTTATTCGTTATTCGTCGATTGCCTCGAGCAGGCCCCAGTAACGTCTCTTTCATCCTAGCCCTGAGATTATATTCAAGGCTCTTTAGGAGAATGAGACCCACCAGGTATCACTGAGAAGAAATAGAAGTGAATGTTCACTCCTCTCTTCACCAAAAAGCAAAGAAACTTCAGCTTTTTCTCTTTTTTAAATAGTTTTCTCCATTTCCTTTTTGTTCTTGTGCCACACCTGGCTCTGCACTCCTGGCCAGCTGAGGGACCACACGGGCCAATGGGCATTGAACATGGGTTGACCACGTACAGGGCAAAGTACCATGCTCACTGCACTAGTGCTCTGGCCCTTATCGTCTTCAAACACAATTTGATTTTGGTGTTGGGCTACGCCCTTCGTGTGTTCAGGCAGCACTCTTGGCGATGCTGTCGCAGACCTTATGCATTGCCAGGGTCAACCAGTGTGTGTCCAGCAAGTTCCATTGTTTCTGCTCTATGTCTTCGGCCCCTACGAAACAATTTTAATCTAAGAAACTCAGTGAGTTGTTCACAGAGACTGTCATCAAAACCAGATTCATATTTCAAAGGTAATTTTAATAATTAATCACCAGCAGCTTTTGCAGGGGTGGGGGGAATCCAGCCCACGGAACTTTTAAGCCCTCCTGCACATGAAAGAGGGAGGGAGCATCCTCCTCAGTTTGAAGGGGCCACGAATATCCCGGGTCACTCCCAGAAAACTTTGGACAGCTTCTTGAATGCCAGGTCCCCTAGGGCGGGTCTGGCTGCCTCTCCAGTCCACAGAATCCACAGTAAGGTGCTGCTCTCTGTCAGTGCAGGCACTCATGGGGGAACAGCAGGTTTGGGCTTGTGACAAAATGTGGCTCCATCCCAAGTATCAGGGGCCCTGGAAGGAACGGCGAGAGACGGAGCTTGGGGTTGGCGCTCTGAGTGTGCATCTGTCAGCTGGCAGTGCAGGTTTCTCCATTCTTCAGGAGGGGACAAAGGCCTTGGCCTCCCTGATCTTCTGCTTCATGCCCCTGCAGGACAGCATGAGGCTGGCGTGGTGCCGCTTCAGCGACTCCAGCCGCTCCCTGAGCAGCTCCGTCTTATCCACCTTGTCCTCCAGGTCCTGGAGGAGCGAGTGTTTGCCCAGGAGCCCGCACTTCTGGTTCAGCTTGATGTTCTCCAACCGCAGGCTGTCGCGAGCTTGCTTGGTCTTGGTCAGGATGTCCCTCCTGAGCGCCACCTGCTCCTCCATTTCCTGCAGCTGCACCTTCTTGCTCATGTTCTCTCTGTCAACGAAGTGCAGCTTCTCCTTCACGTGTGTCACCGTCTGCACGTTGTTGCCGACCTTGCTGCGCAGCTTCAGGAGCTCCTCGTTCCGCTCCTCCACCTTCTCGTTGAACGTCTGATTCTCGATCTTCAGCTGCTCAAAGTCGATGAGGTGCAGGCCCTGGGTCAGGTCCTCCTGCGCCCTCATCCGGGTCTCAAAGTGCACCAAGCACTGCTTCAGCTGCACGTTTTCCAGCCTCACGGCGCTCATCTCCTTCTCCTTCCTGTCCTCCAGCGCCTGGATCTGCTCCACCTGCCGCAGTGCCTCCTGCCGCCCGCCCGTCATTCGGCAGCTGCCCATGGCCTGCATCACCACCTGCTTCTTCAGGGCCTGGAACCTTCTCCAGTCCTTGTCGGCCTGCTCCAGCGTGGACCTGCACTGCTGCTTCAGCTGCTCCAGCTCCTGGTGGTACCAGTCCAGGTCGTCGGCCTGCTGCTTCCGCAGGTCCTCCAACATGGCCACGTAGCCCAGGTAGGTCTGCTCCTTCTCAGGGGCCTCCTCGGCCACCTTGTCCGTCGCCTCCGCCGCGGCCGCGGCATCCTGGCCCTTCCTGCGCAGCACCTCGCTGATCTTATGCTGCAGGAAGAAGTTGTAGCGCTGGTAGCGGCTGCGCTCGGCCATCAGCGCGTTGTACTGTTGGATGAGCTCGAGGCGCAGCTGCTCCTCCTGCTCCTTCTCCGACCCCGAGCCCCACGCCTCGCCCTCCCCCTCCTCGGGCCCCTGCCCCTGCTCCTGCTCCTCTTCGGGGGGCTCCCCGTACAGGGGCCCCTTCTGCACCGGCGGCGCGGGGGTGAATCTGTCCACCGCCGCCTCCTCCTCGCCGTCCTCGGGCTCCTCCTCCCCGGGCACCGCCTTGCGGGCTGTCACTGTCTCGGAGAGGTCGGCGAGGTCCCGCCTTGAGAGGCCCCGGGACGGGCTTTTCTTCCTCCGCAACAGATACGCCGCCGCCGCCGCCTCCTCCTCCTCCCCCTCCTCCTGGCTCTCCTCCTCCTCCTCCTCCTCCTCCTCGGCCGCCGCTACCTCCTCGTGGCTCTTTGCTTCCGCCGGCTCCGGCTCTATCTCCTCCTCCGCTTGCTCTTCCTCCCCCTCCTCCCCCTCCTCCTCCTCCCCGGCCTCGGCTTCCTCGGCTTCGCTTTCGGACAGCGGCCGGGCTGGCTCCTCGGCCTCATCCCCGGCTCTCCTCGCCGAGTCCTCCTGCTCCTCCTCGGCCTCCGCCTGGGCCTGGGCCGGCTCTTCCGAAGCCCCCGGCCCCTCCTCTCCCGCAGTCTCCGTGGCCACCGGCTCCTCCCGGGCCTCGGGGGCCGCTGCTGCTGGGGCGATTTCCTCCGAGGCCTCTGCGGCCCCCGCTTCCGACCCCGACCCCGACCAGGCCAGTTCGGTGGCGGACTGGAGGCCGGAGCTGCCCCCACCCTCCGGGCTGTCCGAGTCTCTGTTGTCCTCCTCCGAGCCGACCGGGGGCCCCGGGGCGCTCTCCATCTCGCTGCGGCCGGGCTCCCGCCGCCGGCCCCGGCAGCCGCTGTTGGGTTGCCAGGGGCAACCAGGGCCGCGCGCCTCACGCCCGCCGATTGGCCGGACGCGAGCCCGACGCCCACCTCCCGGCCCCGCCCCCGGAAGAGGGCGGGCCAATAGCACGCGGGGAGCGCGCGCCGGGAGGCGGGGCCAGGGGGCCGGGGGCGGGCTTCCGCGGCCCGGCTCCCGGCCGCCGAGTTCCCAAGCCGCGCTGGGGCGGGGCGTCGGCCCGTCGCTGCGCTCGGCGGCGGCCGGCGGCGCGAGGGGCGCGCAGGCGCAGCGCGGCGCCGGGGCGGGGGCGGCCGCGCCGTGGCGCCTGCGCGATGCGGCGGAGCGACGGCGACGGCGGCGGCGGCGGCGGCGGCCGGGCCGGGCCCGAGGGCGCCTGCGTGCTGAGGCGGGACGCGGCCCGGCTGGCCGGTGGCGGCGGCGGCGGCGGCGGCGCGGCGGCGGGCGCGGCGGGCGGCGGTTGCCCGTGCGCGGCGGCGGCGGGCGCGGCGGGCGCCGGGGCGGCGGCGGCGGCGGGCGCGGGCGGCGGGCGGGGGAAGATGGCGGAGCTGGGGAAGAAGTACTGCGTGTACTGCTTGGCCGAGGTGAGCCCGCTGCGCTTCCGCTGCACCGAGTGCCAGGACATCGAGCTGTGCCCCGAGTGCTTCTCAGCGGGCGCCGAGATCGGCCACCACCGGCGCTACCACGGCTACCAGCTGGTGGACGGCGGCCGCTTCACGCTCTGGGGGCCCGAGGCCGAGGGCGGCTGGACCAGCCGCGAGGAGCAGCTGCTGCTGGACGCCATCGAGCAGTTCGGCTTCGGCAACTGGGTGAGTGCGGGGCGCGGGCCCGCCCAAGGTCACCCACCGCCGGCAGGCCGGCCGGCCGGCCCGGCGCCCCCGCGCTGCAGCGCCCCCGCGAGGACGCACGCACGCACGGACGGCGGCGGCGGCGCCCCGGGCCCGGCCGCCACCTGCCCGGACTCGCGCGGCTGCTCGCCCCCGGCCCCGGGCGCCTCCCGGGGCCGTCCCAGGGCTGCCCCGCGTGCTCCCCCGCGGCCGGCCGCCCTGACCACCCGGGACCCTGTCTTGCGTGCTGTCCTCCCACTGGGGGTGCTGGAGAGGACACTGCTCGTGGAGACCTGCTGCCCCACGCCTGGGAGCCAATTCTTTTGTCTCTGGTCAGCCCCTCTCCGGTGTCCACTGCCCAGCTGGCTGGCCTCTCTTGTGTGTCCGCTGCCCGGAGAGAGAACCCAGCCTTCTCCCGGGTGCCCACGCCCACAGCTGGCCCACTCTCTAGTGCTGCTGGGCGGCCCCACCTGCTAGCCTCTCCGTGGGGCACAGCTGGTGCCTCTTGTGGTGCCTGCTCCGGGGTCCCTTCGAGCCTTGGGGTGCCGAGTCCTCCCCGCTCGGGCCTTAGACTTACTCGGGTCCGCGCATCCTTGGCCCCAGAACTGGAGCATCCGATCCCTTCTCACCACCGTAGTCGGGGCAGTGTGAGTGTGAGCAGTGGCCCTGCAGGTGTCTGGGTGCAGTGAGCCTTGAACCCGAGTCAGTCACAAGTTGTGCCTTCAGCCTGGAGAGTCTGTCCCACTTGGGACACAGCCACCAATGTTAGCTGCCCACAGTGGGTTCCCCAGCCCCACGCCTGCTGCATGCCTGCCTCATGGGCCCCAATGCCACCGGAAGTCTCCACTGTTGGCAGAGAGCGGGCTAGGAGCAGGGACACGGGGTTCTGGGAGCTGACCCCCCACCAGCGGTTCCATGCAGGGCCTAATGCACACCCCTAGTGTTCTGGCCAGCTCAGGCAGGTGGAGACCCAAGACCCATGGGGGACACTGGCCCAGGAGTGCGAAGCTGCAGAGGGGCAGTGGGTGGTGACCCGCTCCCTGGGGCTCCCGGGCAGAGAGGATGGGCGGCTGGTGCACGGGCGGCTGCCAGTGTGTCTGAGCCGCACAGCCCTGTTCGCCGGAAGCAAGTGAAGACCCTGGTCTGGGCAGTCTGGAAATTGAGCCGCACCTCTGCAGACTTGGGGGATAGGGGCTCGTGAGCTTTGGAGCTTAGTACTGGGGCTTTTAGGTTCTGGTACCCCCACCCATGCAGAACCCCCCACCTCCATGCTGAGTGCTGGCTGCCAGGGAGTGGGGTGGGGGCAGGGCAAAACCAGCCTTTCCCTCCCTGCCCCCAGCACTGCCAGGAATGAGGAGTCATTCCTGAGGTGTATTGCCAGTTGTGCCCCACCCCCAAGAAAACCACCAAGTTTCCCTGCATGTTGATGGGGGGAGGGGGACCCCATGTGGGGCACAAGTGCATCAGGGTTCTGAGCTGGGGCCTGTTCTTGCCCAGTTTACACATAGGGCACAGGCCCCTGGACATTGGCCTCCACGCCCAGTCTGCTGCATTGCTGACCACTGTCAGCATCGCCTGAGTGCCCAGGGCCCCCTCAGGCATCTCTGTAGGCGCACCAGGCATGTGGAATGTGGGTGTCTGTGGGGTAGTGGGTAGGGTCAGACACCCGACCTCCACTTCCTGTGCGAGTTTGCGTTTCTGTCAGCCCAGCTGCAGCCGTCAGGCACTCCCAGTTCACTGGCGGTTGATGAGAGGAAGACATTGCCACTTCATTTCAGTTCCTAATTTTTTTTTAATCTGGGGGGGGTGACAAAATTCCCATAAAATGGTGGGCAGACAGTGCTCAGGGGTTCTGGGCCGACTCTGGCTCGGTGCTCAGGGCTGGGCTGTGGTGTCTGGAGGCCTGACATGCTGACTTGGCAGCAGCGGGCCGTCCCATAAGCTTGGCACTGCCTCTCCTGCCCTAGAATTGTCCATTTTGCTGCTCATTGCTTTGGTGGGGCATACCCGCTTGTGCTCAGGCGTGTGAGGGATCGGTGCGCCAGGGATCGAATCCAGGTCAGCTTTTTGCAAGGCAAGCATCTCCCCCTCTGCACCTAAAATTGCCTCCTGTCTTTTTTTTTTTTTTGTCGGGGGGGCAGTTGGGGGACCACAATTGGTGGTGCTCAGGGCTTGCTCTGCTTAGGGATCACTCAGCAGTGCTCAGGGGACGAAATGGGGTACTGGTGATTGAACCCAGGTCAGCCACTTCCAAAACAGTGTTCTCCCTGCTGGACTACTCTAGCCCCTTAAATTGCCTTCTTTAAAATGACAGTCAGTGACCTGAGTCCATCCCTGCTGCTGCGGGTGTCTGCCCGAGCATGATGGCCCCTGAAGCCTCTGGGGCTAGGGCCCTCCTTTCCTGGGGCTGGGCGCTTGGGGAACGCCTGATAGGAGGGGGCTCCTAGGCCTGGTGCCATTGGCTTCTGTCTGGAGACCCCACCACCAGCTGCCATTTCTCAAGGCCGTTCCCCAGCCCAGTTACAGGGCGTGGTGGGTGAGTGAGCTGACAGGCTGGGGAAGCGGCCACAGCTAGCAGGGGGCTCAGATCCCCGGCAGGTCGCCCTGCCCTTTAAATACAACTGGGATTTTGGTCAGATCCATAATAGGCCTGGGTTCGATCCCTGTCATCCCATATGGTGGTCCCCCCAGTCTGCCAGGACTAACCCGAGCACTGTAGGTGTGACCCCAAAACAGTACACACAGCCAGGACCATGAGGGAGTCGGGTGCCTCAGTCCGATGTCACTCTTGCCTCAAGCTGCAGAGGGGGACCCAGAACAGGTCTGGTCCCAATTGGGCCCCCATTACCCCAGGATCTGGGGTCAGGAGGGGAGCAGAGGCAGCCGATGGGGCGGGCAGACGGGACCAGCCGGAGACAGGCCTGGTTGGGCCCTGCACCAGCTCCCCCGCCCTGGCACAGCCCGTCTGCTGTGCCCCAAGCCTATTGGTTCACCTGCTCAGGTGCCAGAGGGCAGCACCAGCTCTCCTTGCCTGTTCCAAATGGGGAACCATCTGACAATTGTATGTGGGCTCCAGGGGGTGCATTTCCTGGGGAGCCAGGGAATCCCCGCCACATCCATCCCCATGTGGCCCCAGGAGCTGTGTTCACCCTCTCCCTTGTTGCGGGTACGCGGTGGTACCCTGCCCACGTCACTGTGAGGCCAGTCCAGGACAGAGGGATGCAGGAACTGGGCTCCTTTTAGTCAGCTTAAAGCTTGTCTGCGGGGCCTTGCTGGATCAGAGCTGCTCATTGAACTTCACTGTCTTGGTCCCTGGACGGAGACAGTGCCCTGCAGGCCCCGGGGAGTGCCAGCTGTGCTGTCCCGTGCTGCTTCAGGCACTCGCCCTCTGAGTTGTGGCCTCACATGCGGTCACCCAGGGAGTGGCTGTGTTGTGCGGGTCGCTGTATGCGTAACCTCAGGTCCCAGGCCCCCTGTGAGCACCCTGCCCTGCCGCAGTGCTCTGCCAGTTTGTCCTTTGCTGCCACAGGGGCAGGCACTTTTGTCTCTGTGGCTTGCTAGGTGAATGTTTCAAGGACAAAAGTCCCAGACTCCTTAGACTGAGGATTTGAGGCAGTTTGACATTAAAACCTCATTTAATTCGGGGGACCGGAGGTGTAGTGCATCGGATACGGTGCCTGCCTTGCATGTGATGCGCCAGGTTCCGTCCCCAGCACTGCCAGGAGTAGTCCTTGAGCGTTGCCAGGTGTGGCCCAATTTCCCCCTCAAAAAAAATAAAGTTTTAAAAAGTGAAACCCTCTTTCACTTTATCTGCAATAGTGAAGTGTTTATAGCCTCCCTAGCCTCTGTCTGATACCCCTGACACAGGCTGGCCATAACACGGGCTGGCGTTGTATTCTCTTGAATAATCCTTAGTGGATTGGGCTGTTGGCTCTCAGGATGCGGGGCCAAGGGCTGTGAGTAGGCAGAGCCCCTGTGGGCTGGTTCCTTCATGAAGCCTTGCCGGTGTGTCGTGGGAAATATTAGGCATGGACAGGCCAACCCGAGTTGGGTCCCCCAGGCTCTCCAGGAGTAACGCCGAGAACTACCAGATCAAAGGGGGCCAGTGACCCTCCCGGTTCTGCCCGTACCATCACAGGTCACTGACTGCACACCTGTCTCCCGCCCTTGTGCAAGGCCCCACATACGCTCGGGACCCATGCAGGTGGAGAGACGGCGGCATGTGGCCAGCTGCGTTGCCCAGAGCGCTGTCACTCCATCCCCAGGACTCGGGTGCCTCGTGTCTGAAGCGACAACAGCGGCTAGGGGGTTTCCCTTGCACACACCAGCCCCCACCGGGTGTTGAGTGCCCTGATTCCGAGGTCGATCCTTCCTCTGCATCTCAAATGGTGTTTCCCAAAGTAGGCACCCCACCCGGGGGAGCTGGGCTAAGGATTCGGGTCTGAGTGAGCCTGTAAAAGGGCCTCATGGTGGAGTCTGGCACTAGCAGCCCTGCAGAGGGCGGGGGAAACTGCAGGGGAGACGAGCCTGCGCGCGGCCATTTCCTGGTGCCAGCGTTGCTCTGCGTTAGAGCTACTGCCCTTTCCCTTACCCCTTGTGACTGAAGTTCTAAGCAGAAGTGACCAGCCCAGGCACAGTGTGGTGGCTGAGAGGGGTTTGGCTTCGGGAGCAAGCAGTGTGCCTCGCTGTGCCGAGTCCTTTTTCTGCCTAGCTGTGGTCAGTGCAAGCCGCTGCTTGTCCAGGTCCCTGATCTCCAGGGTAGCTTCTGCGGGTGCAGCCTCCCCATGTTTCTGGAGCTGTGAGAGCAGACGGGGTGCCTGGCTGTGGCTTTAGCGGTTGACTTGGAGGAAGAGGCCTCTTGGCAGAAGGAAAAGATTGAGGGGTTGAATGGTTTCCTCCCATGAATCACGGGCTGACGTTTGCCGTGATGCCGTCTGCAGCCACGGTACCCACGAGCCTCCCCTACCTGGGTACAGGCAGCAGGCCGAAGGGCCTCCTGTCTAGGAGACCTGGCAGGACAGCAGAGGGCACCGTGGTGCCCCCAGGCACAGGCTCACCTCGAAGGCCTGCCCCTTCCTGTGCTGCCACACTCCCACCACAGGTCTGACTTTGTTGACGCTAACTTCCAGTCTTGGTCGTTGCAGGAAGATATGGCAGCTCACGTGGGTGCCTCCCGGACCCCGCAGGAAGTGATGGAGCACTATGTAAGCATGTACATCCACGGCAACCTGGGGAAAGCCTGCATCCCCGACACCATCCCCAACCGGGTGACCGACCACACGTGCCCCAGTGGGGGCCCCCTCTCGCCCAGCCTCACCACCCCCTTGCCTCCCCTAGACATCTCGGTGGCTGAGCAGCAGCAGCTCGGGTACATGCCGCTGCGGGACGACTACGAGATCGAATACGACCAGGACGCCGAGGCGCTCATCAGTGGGCTTTCGGTCAACTATGACGACGACGACGTGGAGATCGAGCTCAAGCGCGCCCACGTAGACATGTACGTGCGGAAGCTGCGGGAACGGCAGCGGCGCAAGAACATCGCCCGTGACTACAACCTGGTGCCCGCCTTCCTGGGCAAGGACAAGAAGGAGAAGGAGAAGGTGCCCAAGCGCAAGATCACCAAGGAGGAGAAGGAGCTGCGGCTCAAGCTGCGGCCGCTCTACCAGTTCATGTCGTGCAAGGAGTTCGACGACCTGTTCGAGAACATGCACAAGGAGAAGATGCTGCGGGCGAAGATCCGAGAACTGCAGCGGTATCGGCGCAACGGCATCACCAAGATGGAGGAGTCGGCCGAGTACGAGGCGGCCAGGCACAAGCGGGAGAAGAGGAAGGAGAACAAGAACAGCGCTGGCTCCAAACGCGGGAAGGAGGACGGCAAGGACAGCGAGTTCGCGGCCATCGAGAACCTTCCGGGCTTTGAGCTCTTGTCGGACCGTGAGAAAGTGCTGTGCAGCTCCCTGAACCTGAGCCCTGCCCGCTACGTGACGGTGAAGACCATCATCATCAAGGACCACCTCCAGAAGCGGCAGGGCATCCCCTCCAAGAGCCGCCTTCCCAGCTACCTGGACAGGGTCCTCAAGAAAAGGGTGTTGACCTTCCTCACGGAGAGCGGCTGGATATCCAGGGACGCCTCCTAGGCCAGGCATGCACCGGGAGCGGGGCTCTCTCGGAGACGGATTCCTGCAGGGCCTCTGCCGGCGGGGGCGTCCCGCTGCTGGGCAGCAGGGACCTGTGTCCACCGGTCCTGAAGGCTGCTTCCAGGGACTTGCCCTTCGTGCATGGGTGGAGGGCTCCCAATGGACTGCCACCCCCCTTGTTCTGTACAGACTGCAGGGCTGCCAGCCCGAGTTTCCTGTGACAGCCCCCCGGGGGGCCCCCTCCCCCGCACGTGGCACTTTAGATGGGGCGGGGCAGGTCCCAGCAGGCTCCCCCGAGCCTCCCGCGGGCCCCGGCACCTGTGAGAGCTCCCTGGCTCCTGGACGGTGCTCTGGGGATGCCCACTAGGAGTGGGGCGGGGTGGGCTGCCAGAATCTGAGCCAGCTTTCCTGGGGGTGGGGGTGCTTCCTGCTGCTTCCGTCTTCGTCCGGGCGGGTTCGAGCTCAGGCACCGCCTGCTTCTGGGCCTCTCCCCAGTTGCAAGTACCTTAAGTACCTTCTCAGCGAAATGCTGACGGCTGCCCAGCGAGTGGCGGCTGTGCTGGGCCAGCCAGCAGCAGCTCTGGCCAGGGGCGAGCCTGTGCCCGGTCCTATGCCAGAGATTTTCAGGGGCCCGCTCCCATGGACGCACACGGTACCTTCCTTCTGGAACTCGAGGAAGCCCTTTGTCTTCCGGCTGCTCAGGGGTCTCCTGTCCAAGACCCTGCTTTAGAGTGGGAGTGACTGCAGAAACCCCAGAGGCTCCCTTCTGCCCCCTCACCCAGACTGTTTACCTCCCAGAGTGTTTGGGCTTGAAGTTACATTAAAGTTATTTGAAAGAAGAGACCTCATTTCCAAGGACTTCCTTAATTCCTAATTCTGGTGCCTTTTCCTTTCTTCTGTCCCTTTCCCCTAGGCAGTGTTCAGCATTAAGGACTGTTTCCAGGCCCTCCAAGGGGCATAACCGTAAGCTGTGAGGCACAAGGGCCCTGGTGACAGTGCTCAAGTTTGCTTAGCGGGAGGCCGCCTCCACTTGTCCCCACAGTCGCAGTTGACAGGGCCTTGTCCATGGCCATCGGCGGTGCTGTTTCATAGGTGTCTCGGCCACTTCTCCCTGGGTAACATCCTGGCCTCCGGAATCCCGCCGGGAGGGGGGCTTTGGTACCCGGAACACCAGCTAGTTGGGAGGACCGCTGGCCTCAGTGATTCCCATGCCTCCACTGCTTCTCTCAACAGAAGCTTAGTTTGATGAGGTTTTAAATTTAGTCTCATTTTTATATAAACATGATTTGAGTCATTAGGCTTGGGAAACAAATCCCTGTAAATTTGTGCGGCCTCAGCGGCAGTGTCCGCTGAGGCGTGAGATTGTCCTTTGGAAGGTCCAAAGACTCCTCAGGTATGGCTGGCAGCGGCAGCGGGCTCGGATTCATTCACTCAGGGATCACTGCTGTTGTCAGGGACAGCTGCCTCTCGCCCATCAGCCCCAGCTGTCACTGTCGCATCTGACCCTGACCTGAGTGCAGAGCCTTCATGTTTTTGTATTTCTCGTGAGAAACTGGTCTCAAGCCCGTGCAATTAGGTCTTTACAAAATTTAAACTCTTTGATCCACAGACATACAAAAGAATGCTCTGATGGCCAACAATCCAAAACTGTGTTGAAACCCAACTCTGGCTCCTGTTTTGATTTCCCTGTTGCACATTAAACACGTTGAGAACGAGTGTTACTGCTTGCTTCTTACTGCCCTCGGCTTTGAGCTTGGCATCACTTCCAGTGTGGCTTCAGTGGGCTCCACTTTCCTCCAGGCGAACAGCTGAGCTTGGAGGCGCAGAGACAGCCTTCACACAGCCCTGCCTGGGCAGCTCCTGGCCACCCCAGAAAGGCCTCTGCAGGGGTTCAGGCGCTTTTCTACTGGGCAGCTGCCCCTGTAATTCTGGTGTGTTGCCCTCTCACACTGCTGCCTGTGACACCCCCTCCCCCGCCACCCTTCCACCTACCTGTGCACTTCCACTTTGAACCTCGTAAAGCAGCTAGACAGCAGGAGAGCATGTTTGGGAATGGGAAGAAATCTCCTATTTTGGGGGGTGGTTGGTGGAGGGCCAAGCTACACCTAGTGGTGCCTGGGATCAAACCCAGGACAGCTGCATGCAAGGAAAGTGACTTCCCTCCCCAGTGTACTATCACTGATACCCAATTTTAATAATGGAAACAATCCCTTTCTAAGATGTTTAAAATCAATGGGCTGGTCTATCCTACAGAGAGGAAGGTCACCTGTTGGCGTGCCGCCCAGAGGTGCCTCAGATGAGCTTGTTTCCCTGAGTGCAGAACCCCTCGTCTCTCGGGGCAAGGTGAGGGCTGATGAGACTAGAATTGGTGTCTGCCATGCTGCAGCTCAGTGAAGTGACCCCCTCGCCCAGGCCGAGGTGTGGGACCACACTCCCTGCCAAGCACCGGCAATACTGGGACCAAACCCTCCTCAGTGATGGAACAGTGAATGTGAGTGTTCCAGTTCGCCCAGCATTGGCCTCAGTTGGGAGCATGTCCATCTCACTAGGGAAAGAGCAGGGCCCAAGGCAGATATGTCAGCTCCTGTTACTGCCAGAGAACGTGGCAAGAACACCCAGGAGCGCATGTTCTCGGGTCTCCCAAACCCAGACTTTTATCTAGTGAGTGACGGGCGCAGGCCTACAGGCCAGGGAGACGCAGGAGCCTGGTGTGGCCAGCCAGGTGTAGACAGCCAGACAGCGGTTCCCAAAGACCTTTTATTCAACACTGACGACACACGCACACCGCTCAGACTCGGGTGGGGAACACCCAGGTCTGTTCTCTGAGCACGTGGCCTATCGACAGACTAAAAAAGGGACGGACTCCCAACTCCAAGTTCATTATTAACACAACTGTAAACCAGCTCACCCTGCTGGTTCTGGTCACTAAAGCTTTCCAACAAAGTGGGAAAGGCCGTGGGCTCAGATGAGCCAGCCTGGACAGCGAGCGTGAGGGCAGCCCCAGAGCAAGCCTGGCACGCTAGGCCCCCTTCACCACCCCTACCAGGGCGGGCCGCAGCGTGCGCCCGTGCAGCTTGTAGCCCACTTTGCTCACAAGCGCCACCGTGCCCGGCTCGCGGCCCTCCACCGGTGTGTGGAACAAGGCCTCGTGCTCGTACGGGTCGAACTTGGCCCCTGCAGGGTCGAGCCGGAGGAGGCCGTGCTTGGCAAACACCTTCTGGATCTGCACCTCCGTCATCTGCAGCCCCTCATACAGGCTCTTCAGGTGAGGATTGTCCTCCCTGATCTCTTCCTGGGGCACGCTCTGCGTCGCCTTCTCCAGGATGTCGGCCACCTCCAACAGGTCCTTGCAGAAGGCCTGGATGCCTGGGAGGGGAAAGTGCGTGTCTCGTGGTGGCCAAGTGCTTGGTCTCCAGGACCCCACAGGATATAGGTTGTGTGAAGAGGCCTGGCCTGAGAAGGAGTACCTGGGGGTCCCAGCCCCCACTGAGCTTGTCCACCCCCTCCTGCTCTCTCTGGCCACGGCTGTGAGCCTCCCTGGAGCTCAACTGCTTCAGAGGAAGAGCAGATGGCCCAGCGCAGAGGCAGGCAGGGTGACAGCGGCTTTGGGAGCACCACAGAGCGCAGCCTTCACCCAGGAGACTCCAAGTCCGAGGCAGCAGCTCAGTGGGAAGAGGCAGCCGTGGCTTTCAGATGCCAAAGGCGGTCTGCCCCGCACAGGAGGCCCATGGGACCACAGCCTGTCACTGTGTGTGGCTGGAGGTGGCTTGCCCACGGTCTCAGACAGGGACGCCCAGGAGGAAATACCAGGAGGGTTCTGGGACAAAGTGAAGACCAGGAGCTACACGAACATTTGCAGGAGGCGGGCAGGCGGGAGGAGTGCAGGGGTGCAGGTGTGTGCGCAAGTGCAAACCCCAAGGCCGAGAGGGAATAGGTGTGGGGCAGTTAGCGCCAGGCAGGCGTGGCTATGTATATGCCGCCTTCGCCCGCGTGCACTGAGCACAGACGCTGGGGGCCGGGTAGCTCCCTTGCTGCAGGGGAGGGGAAGCAAGGAGAGGAGGAATGAGTCCAGGTGAGAATTGCACACCTGGCGGGTGGCCACACGCAGGGGCTCAGAAGCAAGATCTGGGCCAGGAGACCTCATGCACGAGTCAGAGCCTGGCTACACAATGCGGCGGGGACTAGCCCAAGCCAACGAAGCTGGGGATAAACTTGTCATGATGCTGGACACGGCACGGCCCAAATCCAAGGGCGCTTTCTAGCTCAGGGAAGGTTGACAACGGCCTCCTGCCTAGGGCCAGCACCAGTGCCACTGCAATATGCCCCCATCACCGAGGAGCCTACACACCCCTGCCCGGGGCCCTTCCACACAACACTGCATGGACACATGCCAGCAGCCCCCCGCAGCCTCCCCCAGGCCCAGCACAGTTACCGTATAACTTTGCCTCCTCCACCAACTTTTGGCTCCTCTGCCGCAGATTCTCAGTATCTGCCAAAGCGCGTTTGTATTTTTCCTGAAGAAGAAAAATGGGAGTTTACCAAGACTGAAGAGAAACCCCAAGTGTGTCTATACTGTGGGACGCGGGCAGCTGCAGAAAGGACAAGACCACCGCGATCTCAGGCAGAGGCCGAGAGAGCGCACGCTACCCTCAGGCCCAACAGAGCTGATCCCACAGCAGTCACGGAGCTCCCATCATTTTGGATTTTGGGTTTATTTTAGGGCCACATCCAGCAGTGCTGAGGGCTAACTCCTGGCTCTGCTCCCAAGTCCCTCCTGGAGATGCTTGGGGAACCACAGGTGGTGCTAGGGATCAAACCTGGGCCACCTACCTGCAAGGGAACTGCACTACCCCTCAAGCCCCCACCGCCCTGCTCTGAGACATTCTCCTGCCTGAGAGAAAGGAGCACAGGCAGCGCTGGAGTCCCCATCTCACCGTGGTCTCCTTCAGCTGCTCCTCCAACTTGACCTTCTCCTCTGCAAGCAGCTTCTCGGTCGGGGTGGGGGCGCCTGCCTTCTGCTCACCGAGGCCCACATCCTCTTCCAAGTTCTGGCCGTCGTTCTTCTGCTTGGTGGCCATGCACAGGAGCCGAGGAGCGGGCCTGCGGGAAGGTGACAGGATGAGCCCCACGTCTGGGGCGACCGAGGGGGGATGGGTTCACACTCACACCCGAGAAACTCCATTTGGGCCCGAGCCCCTGCCCGGACAAACCGTCCCCATGACGAATGCGTTCCCCAAAACCAGCCTCTCCACTCGGCCACCCCTCCGGCCCCAGGTTCTGGAAATAAGGCCGGTGGGCAGGGACGAGGGTGTCTTCCTGGGGCCGGCTGCTGGCCGCCCAGAGGCAGGCTCACCACCCGGGACCACTCCTCCAGCCTGCCCAGCGCCCTGCCAGCTCGCCCGGAGGAAGGGTGGGTGCAGCTTCGGGGCTGGAGATCAGCGTCCCGGGCCCCCGGACGCGGCCCGTCCTGCTCCGGCGGCGCGGGGAGGCTGCGCGGCCTCTTGCCCGGGCCCCGGTGGGGCCGCCGCAGGGCGCCCGCAGAACCCGAGGGCGGCGGCCTCGGGCACGGAAACCCCCGCCCGACCCCGCTCCGGAGCGGGCGGCGCGCACGACTCGGCACCGCCGGGAAGAAGCGGCCGGCGCCGGGTCCAGGGGGCACGGCCGCGGCCCGGCGGGACGCCGCCCCCGCTCACCCCGCCGGGCTGCGAGGGCGCGCCCGTCCCCGGCGGCTGCGGGGCGGCCGGGAAGCCCGACCTTGGCGGCCTCCACAGCCCGCAGCAGGCGCCGAGGTCAGCGCGGGGCACGAGAGCCCGCGGGGGGCCCGTCCCGGGGCCGGCCCCGAGAAGGCCCGCGCCGGCCCCGGGGGTGACCCGGGCCCCGGGGAGGCCCGAGACGGCAGGCCGGCGGGCCGCCCCGCCCGCGGCCCAGGACCGCGGGCGCCGCTTACCTGAGCGACAACGCCAGCGTCGGGAGGCTGCGCCGCGCCAACCTCACGCACCGCGCCGCCATGACTGCCGCCGCCGCCGCCGCGCACGCACTGCGCCTGCGCGCGAGCCCTCGGCCCGCCCCCCGGCGATCCCGGCGACTCGCGCAGACTCCGCGCCTGCCTCCCGCCCAGCGGCTCCTGTGAGCCAATCGCCAGCCGCTCCTCTCCTGACGGACAAGAATGAGGCGCCAATATAAGTGGCCCACGGCGAAGACGCCTTCCCCGCCTCCAGGCGGAGGGGGTCTGAGTTCCCCCGAGGCCCCCCGCAGTGGAAGAGGTGAAAGGGTACGGGACGGAGGGCGGAGACTCGTGGGCGGGGCCTGGTCCGGGGAAGAACCAATAGGGAGGAAGCGCGGGGGGCGGGGCGGCAGGCGGAAGTGCGGCCGTCGGGGCTGCCGGGCGCCCGGCGCGGGCGTGTGCGGGCGCCCTTGGCTCGGGCCGCTGGCTGCGGCGGAGGTGTCCGGAGTGGCCGGGGCTGCGCAGGCTGCTGCGGGCCCGGGGCCGGCCTAGGGCGCAGACTCGCGGCGGGACCCTCCCGCGAGGCCGCAGGGGCGGTCAGTGTCACACGAGCGGAAGCGCGCCGCTGCTCGGACCGCAGCCCCGCGCGGCGGACGAGCGCGGCGTCTCGGAGACCCCGTCCGCGGCCGGACCCTTGGGCTCAGGGCTTCCGTTCTTCTGGGCCGCGGCGCTACCCGCCCGCTGCCACCCAGCGTTTTTGCTCTTCGTTTGGTTTGGGTCCGTCGCCACGAAAAGCGTTTGTGTTGTGTTTCTTTTGTTTTTGATTTTTATTGAAACGCCGCGAGACAGCCGGTTCCAAGGCCGTTCGTGATTGGGCTTCACTTTCATGTTTCAGCCCGTCCGTTCCCCGTGCACGTTTGCCGCCACCAGTGTCCGCAGTCTGAGGGTCCCTCGTTCCTACCGTCCTGGGCGGCAGCCTCTGGTCCCCCAGAGTCCTGGGACTGGAGCCCACGGTCTCCTCGAGACAGAGGTTGGAACCGGGTCGGAGCCTGTGATCTCCCCAAGATCCGGGGCTTTCTCGGGTTCCATCTGTCAGCAGCAGACCTCGTTTTTGTTCTTTGTTTGGTTTTTGGTCCGTCGCCACGAAAAGCGTTTGTGTGTTTGGATGAACGTTTAGTGTGAGCGCCTGCAGGAAGCCAGGCTATGGGACATTCTCCCCCCCAGTGGCCTGGGGGAGTGACTAGCTTGGACCCTGGACCGAAAGGAAGCAGGGCTTCAGATGGAGGACAGAGGGGCTGTGGGCCACAAGGTGGGCCTGACTTGCATCTCAGCAGGAGAAACTAAGGTCGGAAGGGACATCTGAGTTTGGTGGGGGCGTTTGCATCCAAACAGGATGGTGTCAGAAGTGACTGGCCCTTCTGTGAGGGAGAAATACTGGGGTGACCTGTGAAATTGACTCAGTCATTGGAGATGCCATGGTGGGGTCAGAAACGCCTCAGAGCAGTATGGTTGCTGAGGAGGCTGAAGCTGAGACGTGCTGGGGCTCAGATAGCCACACGTGTCTGAGGATTTCTATAAAAATTCAAACCTACAGCCTCTGCTTCTCCTAGCCATCACCTCAGCAAGTCACTCTATCACCCCCACTTTCATCTGCAAAATGGGGCCCATATTGTGAGATTGATTTATTTTGCTTTTCTTTTTGGGGAATCACACCCGGCGATGCACAGGGGTTATTCCTGGCTCTGCACTCAGAAATTACTCCTGGCGGTGCTCAGGGGACTATATGGGATGTTGGAAATTGAACCCGGGTTGGCTTTGTGTAAGGAAACGTCCTACCTGCTGTGCTATCACTCCAGCCTCCATATTGTAAGATTTAAAAGATACAGATAGTGGCGCGGGGCTCGGGGAGATATTACAGTGGGCAGGGACATGGCCAACTTGGGTTTGATGCCCAGCACCCCATAGGGTCCCCCAAGCTCTGCCAAAAGCCCTGAACACAGCCGAAGTGGGGAGAGTCTGAAAGGGCCGAGTTCAGGCTTTGCCCCTGCTCTGCTTGGTCCCTGCTCTCCCCAGGAGCGAGTCTCAGGCACAGAGACAAGAGAGGACCGACCCAGAGCAAGGCCGTGTGTTGTCCCCACTACAAGATACAAGTGTCCGTGCCCTTCAGGGGCTCTGAGGATACGCTGACACCGCGGCAAGATCGCTGGTCGCGGTCGCGTTGGAGCTGCGTGTGTCCCTGGGCGCACTCTCTGGTGGCCTGGCCCTGGGTCCTGCCGACGGTCTCACCTTTCCCTGAGCAGAGGCCTGCCATGTTCCCCCGCGTGGCGGTTCCCAGAACTGCAGGGAAGGAAGCTGGGGAGTTCCCCCGCGGAGGCCCATTCAGCTGCTGCTCTGGGGAATCTGCTCCCTGCATCATGTCAGGGTGTCCCAAGCCGGTCCTAGCCCCTCCCAAGTCTGCCCGCAGACTCAGGCGTGGGCTGTGCAGGCCTGGGCAAGGTGGAGGCACAGAGGGCAAGCTGAGGGGTACGGCCCCAGGAGACCCGTGGCAGCCTGTGTCTGCAGGCCTGCTCAGAGCTGGGCATCACAGGGCCACGGCTGGCGGGAGTGCTGGGCCGGCCAGCCACAGTATCTTCCCGAGGCCACGCAGGCCTTTGCATGTTTCCCCCTCCTGATCCCAGCTTCCAGGGCCTGCGGTCACAGTCCGTTGAGACACTTTCCTTCCCACCTAAACCGACTCAGATCCCTCTGGGAGACAGAGAGATCAGCACGGTTCTGGGTCTCGCCCTGCATGCGGCCGACTCCATTCTACCCTCATTCCCTCGTTTCCCAGAGTGGCACCAGGGGCCCAGCTGCACCACATCCTCAGGCTCTTGCACTGACCCAGTGGCCCAGTTGGAGCGAAACCGCTGTTAGGGGCCCTGAGCCATCTGAGCACTGTTTGGGAGCACCCACAAAAGGTCTGGGTGGGACCTAGGCAGTGGAGAGGATTCTTGTGTTTTGTTTTGGGACCACACCCAGCAGTGTTCAAGGCTGACTCCTGGCTCTGTGCTCAGGGACCACTCCTGTCGGGATCAAGGGACTGCATGGGGTGCTGGGGATTGAACCCAGCGGGCCACGCACAAGGCCAAGGCCCTGCCCATTGTGCTATCCAGCCTCCAAAATTCTTTTATTTGTTGTTTTTGTTTCCTTATTTTTTGGGCCACACCTGGACTCAGGGCTATTTCTCGCCTCTGTGTTCAGGGGTCACTCCTGGCGGAGTCCGGACCCTATGGGGGGCCAGGGATTGGGTCATCCTTGTGCACGGCAGTGCCTTCACCCTGCCCGATCTCTCTGACAGAGAATTTTTCTGGAGCGTGACCCCAGGGCTTCCAATCAGCCGCAGCTGGGGGTGGCTGGGACGAATCAGCAAAGGCTCGGTGGGGTCCCCGCAGGAGAGGTTCCCTGGTGCGCAGTCCTGCGGGCTGCTCCAGGAAGAGTCAGCTCCCCACTGCAGGTAGGAGGAGGGGGCACCAGGAGATGTCAGAGGTCCCCCAGCCAGCTCCTTAACCAGGGGGACCCAAGACCTGAACCCCCAAGTCTGACCCAAGCCACCGTACCTCAGATCACAGAAGGTCAGTGTCACACAACTGACGGGGGCGGGAGTCCCCATAGCTCCGCTCTGGGTCCCAGCTCTTTCCTGCTCACGGTATTCTTCCCCAGGTGGTGCCTACCAGCACGGGATGGAGCCATGACAGCGGCACCCCAAACTGAAGAAGGGCAGATGGGGGAGAAGGAGGGCACCACGGCAGCCTGTTCTGTTGCCTCATACGTGGCTGGCACACATAGCCGCAAAGGAGGCTGAGGAAAGTGGCACTCACCCGCTGGGGCCCGCACCCCCCACTCACGGCACCCCCACCCCCACGCCACCCATTCCTACTGGGCACCTGAGTCGGGTCTGTGGTGGCGGCTGGCCCGCGTGGCAGAGGGCAGCAGTGTTGCTGGGCGCACTCTTTGCCCAGGAAAACACAGGCCTGCTGCCTGCAGACCCAGCAGCTTCACAGATGGGCCAGAAGCATCGTGAGTACAAAGCAAGCGCACTGCAACCTAGATGCCGCTTCCTGAAACCAAACCTGAAAAAAATGGGGTGTGAGAAATACCCGTCATGTTTCAAAAGAACGCTTTGGGCTCTGGACACTATGTGCTATGGGCATCGTGGATGGAATGTTACCACGAGTCTGCCTCCTTCCCCCTTCCTTTCTTCCCTCCTTCCTTCCTGATGCCTTCCTCCCTACTCCCTCTTTCCTTCCCTCCTCCCTACTCCCTCCTTCCTTCCCTCCTTCCTTCCCTCCTCCCTTCCCTCCTTCCTTCAGCCCAGTGCAGGTGGTTCCCCTCTTGTCCATCCCCCTTCCCATCTCTGAAGTGGGGGCCTGCAGGCCTTCGGAGGCCGTTTGAACATAGCAGAAACAGTGACTCTGCATCCACACACACAGCTGTGCACCTTTTGCGGGGACCCTGTCTGCCCAGGAAGATAGATGGTGCTTTGGTTCAGCTTTCATCTTCCCTAGAATGCAAATTTGGGACCAGAGAGATCGTCCAGGGCTTATGGCACTTGCCTTGCACACAGCTGACCCAGGTTCTATCCCTGACACCCCAAGCACTGCCAGGAGTGATCCCTGAGTGCAGAGGCAGAAGTAAGGCCCGAGTATCCCCAGGTATGGCTCCAAACACAAAGAACCAGAACAAATGAATCCAACCCCCCTATGCAGACATGTCGTTGGAAAACGCTGATCCACGCATGGTTGATCAGAGACAACGTGAGAGTCTCCCAGCTGTCAGGACTTTCTGCTATGAACTGCATCCACCGAGCAAACCCTCTGCCAGAAGGTGGGGCTGGACCCATGCCTGCAGCTGTGTGCTCTTGGCAAGTTCCAGAAGCTCTTGAAATCTGCCCGTGGGGGTCACCATGGCAGAGAGAGTTGTCACCCCTTGCTGAGAGCACGTGGCCGTCCTGAGAGCAGGGGCCAAGGCCGTGGTACCTGGGGAGAAGGGCGGCACTTCGGGCACTCTGTGCGATGCCTGGGATTGGATGTGGCGTGGCTGCTGGCACGGCAACACCCTTCCAGCCCTTGAGCCTTCCCAGGGCCCA